TCCATTCCGGGGGAAATAACCATCATCTTATCTACCAGTCCCATCTCATTTTTCTCCACTTCAAATGTCTCTTCCACGAATTCAGCCATGTACTTTGCCCCTACGATAAGTTTGTGGCAATTCTTGATTCCCTCCACAGCATATCGCCTCAATTCTTGACGGTTTTTGACGGAGAAAATGATGGAACTTCCGTGGATTTTAACATCGTACGGGACCCCCGTACCTTCGGTAGCGCGCTTTGTTATAACAGGACTCAAAATTGCGTGATTCGCGAGGATCCGATCGACTCCTTGAGCAATCACTTTCTTCAATCCCGCCACAGTGCCTTCTATATTCGCTTCAATCTCCTCCAAAGTACAGTTCACCATAGTTTTTACCTCGTAACCTTCATATAAATCGTACCAGTACACTAAAAGCAGCCCATTGATGTCTGGAACTACCACTCGTACGGTGCCAGCTTTGGGGGCCTCAGAAGGAATCTTCGCCGTGCCGACGATAAATTCATCGACGAAATCAAGGCGACCCGCAAAGGGATCTTGGCAAATTACAGTTACAGCATGTCCCATATGCTTCCATGATTTAGCAATGTTTGCCGTGTAGACATTAGAACCTGTTCCGCCGAGAAGATACCCGTGCACTAAAACCAAATGCATTTTCACAGCAATCAGGTCCAGATATTGTGCACATTAAAGTCATCATTGCGTGACTTGAATTATAATTCTTCTCGCTTGACACGTGGACAAAATTTGATATGTGATCAGCGTTTGACGTATTCTTCCTATTTTTCGTGGAATCAAGACTGACAATTCCTTGAAGAGGAACTTTCAGCAACATTGAAATTTGAGACATGCCAACTTTAGTTTATGGGGTTTTAAACCAGGCCAGCGGCCCTCGGCCCACTTCCCAGGGGTCAGTAGCTCAGCGGGGGAGGGGTCAGCGGAGCATGGCCCAAGACCCCCTTGGTCGGTCTCGGGCGCCTTCCTTTCTTCCCCACCCCCTCCCCGCTCTTTTACTTGCGCCATTTTTCGCGCGGTCTTTGACTCTCTCATTCCTCGTTATTTGTAGACAGTTCACAGTCCCCTATTTTTTCGTGAGATCGTTTAGATATACCGCGTCTTACCGTCACAGCCATCTTCTTTTTCAAATGTACCGAGGGGGCGGGCGTCCGGAATTATAGCTCTGGGGCGAGGGGGATCCCAAACCACCCCCGCCCCCTAAGTAGTTTTGACACTCACGTAAGATGGCAGCCCGTAACGCAAAGCGCTCAATCTCGATGATCTTACGGAAAAATAGAGAACTGTGAACAGTCTACGTTATTTGTTCCTACATAGCCTGTTCCAGGCTCCGAGATAGTGGTGAAAAAGTGGTTCAGTAAAAAGAAATGCGAAAAACGCGCAGGGGCTGGGGAGAGACCCCCGCCGCGGTAAAAAGAGCGGCGGTGACGGGGGAAAGGGTTCAGCGCGCGCAGAATAAAAGCGAAACGAGCAAAATTAAGCAGGTGTGATATGATAGACTCTCGGATCGTGTCCGATCAAGGATGTGGCCACGGAAACGCTTGCTACGCAGGCTATACCAAAAGGATCAATAGACATGAAATCCTAATCTTAGGACATTATTTCGGGCAGGAGCCCATCAAATTGTTGGGCTCCTGTTTTGGGTGTTGAAAGGAATACCTTAAGAGACACAAAGAAGAACTCAAACTCACAAAACTTTTCTAACCGTCGCCTTACATTGAATGAGTAAGTAATTACCGATTGATCATTTCTTTAGAAAGCGAGAAAGTGATAACCTGGAAGTGATAAGCTGACAAATGCAACCGATAATCCTTACTTTACATATCTCAACGTTTATGATATTTTCATTTTCAAACGGTGAATAAACGATTACAGAGAGAATCAAGCCCATTTAACTGAGCAGAAATAATAAGCGAATAGCCCACCTTCTATATATTAAAAGTCTAACATGACTCCGAGGCTTTCTGGTCAATTTTCTATATTTGGTTTAATTTTCTTTGTGCTCAAGCCTCTTCTGGAAATTGTGAGACAACAGGATGGCAAAGCGGGGGGCGGGGGAACCTATCACGCATCACGCCGATAGTTATAAGCTATCACGCATCACGAAAAAATAAAATAAAATATTAACTACATTAACAAGTATCCTATCATCAATAAATCTGAGGAAATCGAGGTCGAGGAACGTGAAAAAAGGATAAGAAGTTGGTGCCATATTAAAACTATCTATTTTTAATGTCACTGCTTCTATTGACCATCACGAAAATTTCAGAGGAAAATCACGCGTCACGCGCGATGTGAAAATAGTAAATCACGCATCACACTGCTATGCCCAATTACGCCTCAAGCCGCTCATTTGAGCCGGATCACGCATCACGCTGATAATTTGGTTCCCGTCACGCGTCACGGAAAACCCCTTTGCCACCCTTAGACAATGGAGTCGTGAAAAGTTTACAATTTTTTCCCTTAGCCCTCCAAGTTATATTAGAATTTTAATTTATCGAACGTGAGCAATTCAAACTCATCGTCGTCCATTTTCAAGCCCAAAACCCGTCGCATATCTGTGCAGGCGCAAAGATTTAGTGCCGGACAAAAATAAGGACAAAAACATTGTTGATAATCAGGGCCTGGAAACCTTTCGGGCCCGAAGGCAAATTTTACCTTTTGAATATTAGCACAGTTCCTAGCACAAAAACCAGTCAATTTTGCTTCATAAGCTGGTTGTTACATTGTCTGCGGTTTTTAGAATTAAAACTTTGATCTTAAAGGCAAACACGACACACTCAAAACAGCTTTCCGGGCCCGAAAAGTTATCTGAGGCCCGTTTCTCGAAAGTCCCGGTAACTTTACGGGCCCGAAATCAAATATTCAAATCGAAATATAAAGAATAAGAGCGTGGGTCCTGGCTAGCAAACTACTCCATTTTGTTTCATTAACTGACACTTTTATCGTGTTAGATGCAAAACAATTAAAACCTCGATCTTTAATGTAAACGGAGACAGCTTACCGGGCCCGTTAATTATCGGGACTTTCGAGAAACGGGCCCCTGGTCCATTTTGTTTCATTAACTGACACTTTTATCGTGTTAGATGCAAAACAATTAAAACCTCGATCTTTAATGTAAACGGAGACAGCTTACCGGGCCCGTTAATTATCGGGACTTTCGAGAAACGGGCCCCTGGACTTTCGAGAAACAGGCCCCTGCGCGAGGCCGCCGCGGGCCCCTGGGCAGAACCCTACGTTTTGCAATATCTTAGCGATTTCTTGAGAGCTGATTGGCCATAGTTTTTATCCTCAATTAGAGGACAGGCACCCAAAAAATTGTATTTGTATGTAAGAAGGTCATTTGCCGGACATCAATATTTCTGCTTAGTGTAGTTTCGGTATGATAATAACACAGCTCATACAGCAAAATGGCGTTCACGGCAAGAAACAAGAGAAAACTTTAAAAATGCTTTTCTTAAAGTTGAAAGAACAGCCTGACACGATTTCTGCTCCTGTACACTGTTCTGAGCAACCTTGAAAAACTGCCAAGCACAGGGTCTTTTAAAAAAACAGAGGGCTGTTCACGTCCGATCAGATTATAATGTTAAAATGAACAAGATAAAGATGAAGATTACTTACTTTATTACATCCACTTTGAAATCACTGGCTATCCGTGCAATCTGATTGGCTATCAGCAGTGTGATTTATTAATCGCACCATATTTTGCTCTAAATCGCATCTGCTCCAAATCGCGTCAGTCATGTTCTAAATCGCATCATTTCTGTTTTAAATCGCACCATTTTTGTTCTATATCGCATCATTTCTGTTTCGAATACAAAATGAGATGTAAAAGTCTTTTTGTTTCGGCTTTTTAACAAACCGGCTTCTTGATCAATAAAATACAGTATCCGTACTGACTGAATTCTGTGATTTCAAAATGGCTGTAATAAAGTGGTAATTGAACTTCGTGTCGTGCAATTTTAGTCTGAAATCATACTTGCGACTTCAAATCGAACTCGCGCTGAGCGCTCGTTTGATTTTGAAATCACAAGTATGATTTCAGACCAACTTTCACTCCACTCAGTTCAATCACCATTATTAATCATGACACTTCTTATTACTCGGCAAGCGATCGGATCTTCCTAGAGTTTCCCGACTGTCCCAGGCCCCCAATATTACCCGGCAATAGCTGACCGCATCACTTCAAAGTTCAGTTTTAGATGAGCCTTGTCCCGTCTTTTAGTTGTCGCCGGTAGCGACCGACTGACTTATGTAAAAATCCGATGCGAGGCTGATAAAAAGAGAAAAGATAATTTAATTAATGAGCCCGATCTGGAGCCAGTTATAGTAAAATGTATGGAAAAGAACCTCGATAGCAAAACCTCGAACATATTTGGCCAGTCCCTTGGCCTTTCGTTAAACCCAGGTTCCACTGTATCAATAAAACAGTGGCTTGTAATCGTGACCTGTGAAATGTGACTTGTGAAAGGTGACCTGTAAAAAAACCTCTCCGTGATACAAGTGTCATCGCCAACCTTTTCACTCTTTTAAAGGCCTTCGATCAGGTCCGAACTTTAATTCCTCGAGACGTTACTAGTATATTGACACAAGACCCTGAAAACTATACTCTGTCGACACACCCGTTTAGTTGGCCAAATACGGGAGTGTGCCCCAAGTTAAATTCACTAGTTAGCCTGTTTCAAATTTTCTACTTGAGTCCTTTGCATCGCCACTGATCATACGCCGTGCGGAACCAGCTTTGGGAACCTTTGAAGTAATCATTGCCGTGCCGGCGATAAATTCGATTCATCAACGAATCGAAATCAGCTTTCGAAATCAAGGCTCTTGCGGACAAATTACAATAACAATTATTTGCTGTATAGACTTATAAGAATCTGTTCCGCCAAGAACACAGAGAACAAGACAGTCTGAATATCAAAACCAAAGGCTTAAGAAAAAAGAGAAATATCGAGTGAGCCAAAATTAAATCGACTCGTCGTTTGAATTGTAGTTATACCAAATTATAATTTATCTCAATCTGACTTGGACAAAAAATTTATACACCCATCAGTCATTTAAGTACTGATATTTTACTTACTTTTCGTGGAATTAAACAGGACTGAAAATGAATGAAAATGTCAAACTTTTTGCAAGTTTATTTTGGTTACAAATATAAAGGAGAGGACTTCAAAATATTTGTATGTACTTCAAACAACTATCAACTGCAATTTACATATTCTAGAGACATCGGCTAGAAGTTTTGCATAAAAAAGCGATGTGTGCAATAGCTGTCCTAGTATTACTGTGAGAATAATTGTTGTTTTTCTTAGCATCTATAATTATGACTTGAACGATCGATCAGAATTGTTACATCGCCAGTAGATTAGCTTGTTTGTGTTGTGGCCGTTTCCAATGGAAATTACGAGAAAATTATTTTCATCTCAGAACTCGGATTGTATTGGTCGTGAAAAAATTTGCAAGTCAATGATGTTTACTAAGCATTACTGAAGTCTTTAACTTTCTACGTGTAATACAAAAAGTTCATTTTTTTCCGCTCCACTTCGTACATAACACGCGATATACTTTCCATTGCATATGGTCAGGAAAACCGTGGTATGGCAGTCTGTAGCAAGTCAAAGTTGCCTGTGCTTGTAGCTTTGGTTTGTTTCGTTTCAATTCCTCTGTATTTTGCTGTACTCAAGGCCTCTGTTGACGGCGGATATTCTAAATGGTCTGAATGGAGTTCATGCTCAAGTGAATGCGGTGATGGGAAGAAAAAAAGAACAAGAAACTGCTCGGATCCAAAACCTGGTTATCTGGGTAAAACGTGCTTACAACAAAACCTTGGCCCATGGCGCGAGGAAGAAAATTGTAAAGATAAAGAATGTCCCATCGATGGAGGGTTTTCGGAATGGACTCCGTTCTTAGCTTGTGACAAAACTTGTGGAGATGGTGTTAAGAAGAGAACTCGCTCATGTACGAACCCGCCGCCACTGTATGGTGGAAAGAATTGTGAAGGTGTAGCGGAAGAGACGGAGGCTTGCAATGTTAAGCCGTGTCCAGTTGATGGGGGGTTTTCACCATGGGGAAAATTCGGCGAGTGTGACAAAACGTGTGGTTCAGGTGTTAGAAAACGATCAAGAACGTGCACAAATCCACCGCCAGCTAATGGAGGAAAGGATTGCGAGGGGCCGCTGACGGAGGAAGAAAAATGCAATACCCAGCCTTGCCCTGTTGACGGCGGGCTCACGGAGTGGAGCGAGTTTGGAGCGTGCGACAAAACCTGCGGTGGCGGAGTGCAAAAACGAACGAGAACTTGTTCAAACCCAGCTCCAGCGAATGGAGGAAAGAATTGTGATGGACTTCTGGAGGAGACAAGGGCATGCAATTCAGATCCTTGTCCAAACGACGTAAGCCAGGAAAAAACTAATTAGCCTACAATTAAAGGCCAATACAGCGGCTAGTATGTAGAAAAAGCTGTAAAAAGAGCGATATCTTTGTTAAACAAGCAATGAACAAAAGAAAATGATTATTAAAACTGCGAAAATACTGAAATGATCCATGAAGTTTTTAATAGGTGAATACCTCTATCAGCTTTATGATTTCGAAAATTTTTTGACACTGAAAAGCATTCAGGCCACTTTAAGTTTGGCAATGTTAACTGAAATGATGCCCTTCCAAAAGAGCCGATACTCCTTATTTTCCCTTGCTCACCATATACGTCGTCCATATAATTAGATATTCAAAGTGGTTGATTTAAGGTGACTCGACCCAGTTTTTTTGGGGGGGTACAATCCTACTTTGAAGCTCTCTGGTATCCCCACCTTTACTTTTAACGTAAGTCTAACACATAGAATGGATAACATATAGATCAATCTACAATATAACATAAAATTTTTGGCGATCGGTGTAAATGTCACGTGGTTATAATGCCACGCCCCTTTGAGGTCTGAGTCGAAAATCTGCTGTTGTCGGCATTTTTTCCAACCTCGTCCCCAGGGGTCCCTTTTGTCATGCGCTGGAAAAATCGGGACCCCTGGCCAATCGGGTTTCAGGACCAATTCCTATTGGCTGTTGAAAGACAAAAGCGTAACAACCGGAAGTCCACATAACCCACAACATGGCAGAACCTCCGAAAACACCGACTAAAGCAGCAACCCGGGTTTGTCGAACCTGCAACGAAAACATAGTTGTGAAGAATCATCCTTTAGATTTATTTGGTGCAAAGGCGTCACAAGAAAACATTCCTTCGGTTCTGGAAAGGTTCTTTGAGTTAAAAGTTGCGTTAAACGATGGTCTCCCGTCATATATCTGTAGATGTTGTTACCATAAAGTGGTGAAGTTCCAGGAATTTTTTAGAAAAATAGCGTTTTCGAAGCAACAACAAGAGTCAGTTTTACGTGTCAAAAGAGGGAAAACAACGGCAGAGAGTCCATCGGGAAGATCCCCGCAAACGAGACGTGACCTAAAGAAGAGCAGAACTTACGAAGACGCACCTGCTACA